GACTGAGAGTGGCGATTCGCGATTCAGTCGGCTTCAAAGAAGCGCGAGCTTGCGAGCTCTCGAGGAACACTAACTACAAAGTCCCCGCCAAATCCTGGAAATTATTTTCAAGACCCCAATTCATGGGAAAAAGAGAGAGAGAGAAAGAGAGAAAGAGATAATGAGAGAAAGGGAGGGAGAAGGGGAGAGAGAGAGAGAGAGAGAGAGACAGAGAGACAGAGAGACAGAGAGAGAGTGAGAGAGAAAGAGAGAGAGAGTGGAGAAAAGGAGAGAGCAAGAGGAAGAGAGAGAGGGGGGGAGAGGGAGGGAGTTTTATAAATACATAGCTTTTGGAATGCATTTCTTGTTCTTTCGTCATTTACTGATGTAACTGAGAGAGAGAGAGAGAGAGATGCACACACACACAGAGAAAAAGAGAGAAACACAGACAAAGAGAGAGTCAGAGATTGGTGATTGGTGATATACGGTGATATTTATTTGTGATGTGCGGTGATATTTTGCAATATGTGGTGATATGCGGTGATACTTAGTGACATGCAGTTATATTCAGTGATATGCGGTGATATTTAGTGACATGCAGTTATATTCACTGATATGCGGTGATATTTAGTGACATACAGTTATATTCAGTGATATGCGGTGATATTTAGTGACATGGGGGTGATATTTAGTGATATGCGTTTATATCTCCCCCATTTTTCATCATCTACAAACGACTCTAGTCTAAGCATCTCACGACTGGTCCACTGGGGAGGGGAGGGGCAATGATTGTATGTACTGTAGATCATTCTTTGCAATAGCATGTGCAGTATGACCTATCGGAAACACGGTGTCACTTGCGGGTCGCAATAAAAGGCCTTTTTTACTCATACACCAATCCTAGCACGTGTTCCAGGCGCGTTCAATGTCTGGTTCTGTTCCATGGTTGTACCAATGAGTAAGAGAAATATGTTCGGAAAGACAGCGGGAGCTGTTTGAAAAAAAAAATGAGCATGCATGTTCATGCACTCTAATTGGCTTACCCAACAACTAGCTCTGATTCAGTTGTTTTTTCCCAAATTTTGATCTCATCTATAGAGTACTCACTGTGCCAGTAAGTTAGTAGACTAAGCCAAATGTAGCTTTATAGCTACAGGAGCGTGTTGACGATGGAGAGAAAAAGAGGGGAAAGGGGAAGGGGGTTCTAATATATCTCCATCCGTCTATCTTTCTGCTTTCCACCTTCTCCTCATCTCCTACAACCCCCCCTCTCTCTCTCTCTCTCTCTCTCTCTCTCTCTCTCTCTCTCTCTCTTTCTCTCTCTCTCTCTCCCTCCATTCTCTCTCTTACTCTCTCTTTTTCTGTATGTATTCGTAGCCTGGGATCATTTCTGATCTTTAAGCCATGTTGCATTGCCATAATTCGTATGTCATAATCTGAAATGTGAATATATTTGCACGCTCACTTTTCGAATAGTCT